ATAACTTCGAAAAGTCAATACAATAATATTATGTTATTTTATCTAGAAACTAATCGTTCACTTCCGTACACGACAAAACGTTAACTAATATTAACACAGACAACATTTCTGTAACGAGTGTTCCTGCGGTTCTTATCGGATTTAACGAATAAACCGAAAAGTAAGGTCATTTCCAATACTCAATAATAGTAGCCCTTTCCCCCCGAAAAATACATTTAAAACTACCAAAATGTTCGCTCAAAATACGATAAATATGCGTTTAATTTTGTTTTTCGTTTCAAAAGAATAATAAAAATGTCTGAATCTCAATTAAAAGATACGGTACACAATTTTAATAATTTTTGTAGATTTATTTCCGTCACCTAGCGACAAAATACATTCCGAACGTCAACGATTGCGACACTGCGGTCGAGTTTAGGGCGAGGGACCTGCTACAAGAAAGTGTTTACTAAGCATTGGCCGAAACGCGTTTTGAACATTTTCATTTCTTTGATAAATGATAATAGTTAAAACCGGGAGGAATCAAGTTGAATTTAAAACATGCATTTAACCGTAAAAAAAAAAAAAAAAAAAAAAAAAAAAAAAGGCTAAATAATCATTCGGCCGAGGCATACGCAAACCCATAAAAAGCATAGTAAATGCTCTGGTAAATAGTATTACTTATGAAATGTATAATAGGTGTAAACTTTGCCCTAAACTCGACCGGAGTATCGCAATCGTTAATGTACGTAATGTATTTGTCACTTTGGTACGCGTGATACGGAGACCGAAAACAAATTATGTGTAGAGGCCCCTCAAGGGGATGCCACACCCGCATATACTGTATCGGTCTAACGAGCGATACGGCAAAATTATTACGGTTTTTTACAACGAAAATATCGGTAAAGAACAAGATATTTTCGAGGGCTTTTATGTAGCTTTTTTTCGAAAACAATGATCGTTAGAAAAAAGTATTTAAAAAAAATAAATAACTATAATGATAAAAAATACTGACAATATCATAAATTCTAAAAAAAAAGATACAGCCATCGGAAATATTCTGCTCTAAAATTATTGTTATTTAACCTCCAATTTCAATCTTAACTCCACAATTTTTACGGTCCAAATAATTTTGCTACGCCGTCCGTAATAGTCGAATTGAGAACGGATTTCGATCGATTTCCGAATAAAAACACACCGCGGTTATCGGCCAACGCGTATTTTTTAACGAGAAAAATTTCCGTTTTACACGTCTATACTGAAGAAATCGACGACGCGCGTTTAAACGTACGAAATCGTCAGTTTGAAAATCTTTTGGAATTCTATTGTTCCAGCTTCCACCGAACGTAATTTTCGAAACGTTCGCCTTTGAAACCCACGGTTTTCTCGACTCGTTCGAATTTACAGCAAACTATAAAAATTTTTATTTTCATTTTACAACCGTGCAAAGCGAAATAATATTGAATTTCATGTTCAGTATTACAGAAAAAATAAACCGATACTGCTAATAGTTGTGCCGCTGTTGTGGGTAGCAAGTGGGCAAGGTATAGGACGCATAGAGCAATTCGATTTATACACATTTGGTCTCAGCGAAAAATAAATTTCGTATTGTTTTCAGAACGAGCTTATTAAATTTTGAAAATTCATCCACTTATGCAATTTAGACCGAAAAGTAAACGGAAAAAAAAAAACACATTCGATAGATTGAGAAAATTCCAAAAATTGACTAATGCCTATGTTAATACCTACCCTACTTCACTAGGACCGAAAATACAATACAATGCAAGCAAATTATTTCCACGTTTGTTTTACAGTATTTTTGTTTTTATTTGTCAGCTGTGCGCAGTACAATATTGGTTCGTATACGGACGACTTCTCGACACCCGGGACTACGTTCGAGTAGAATAAAATCGGAGTGGAATAGAGTAGGAGTAGCCCAGTAGAATACCCGTATTATCAATAATATCTATTCGCGTTAACTTCAAGGTTTAACATAAGGTTAACGTTGACAATAAATGATAAGAAGAGATGTCGACAATCACTGAGTAACCGCCACAGCTGATAAATAAACATGCGTATTATGTAAACAAATAGGTACCGTTAGCTTTGTTCCGTGTTCGTTTTTACAAAAAGTGTACTTACAACTTTTTTTTTTTTTTTTTTTCACATAGAATTTACACTATAGTGTAGATTCGACACAAACACGGTAGGCGACTGGACGTGCGAGTAATGCACGTCTTATCAAAAATGTAGTAAAAATTGTAAATTCTCCGTGAAAACCGACAAAACACTAATGCATCACACAAAACACAAAACCAGCATAGACAAAGAAGAAAAAAATGTCCGGTAAAAAAGAACACTTGTTATCATTATAATACGATAAAAATCTTTATCATCTATTGGTGTTGAAAAGAACCTGCCTGTATTTAGGTAGTTTGAGTCGTTCGAGTTGACGACTTCGAGTTACCGAACGATATTGTGGCGGAGTTAGTTCCGGTATATCGAACGACACCGTAGTTTACTCGAGTAAACTCCGGTTGAGTAATCGAACGCAGCCACGGGGACCGTTCGAGACGGCGCGGCGCGGGGAGAACGCGATAACGGCACGATGGTGATAGTATTTTACCGTTTCGTTTCCGACGGTTTCGATCTTGCGAGCGATTACCGGCGATTTCTAGGCGCATCCACAGACAACGTCAATAAACGCGCACAGTAAATGAACAGTCGGTAGCGGAAACCAACCGCACGATCGAGAAATAATATTATAGATAACGATTATAGAAAAAATTCGCGTTTTACCCGGACGAGATTTTTCATAGAAAAAAAAAAAAAAAAACCGAAATCGATCGGAATTATAATCATCAATCTGAACGATTTCGATTATTTTTTTTTTTTTTATTTTTTTAATAAAGGGACAACGGCGTCGGGATCGCCTCGGATTTTCACCGTCGAGGACACCGAGTTGTTAATGTTCAACCAATTATACCTACCTAACCTAACCTACTAATTATACCTACCCAGACGACACGGTCCGGCCGGTCGTCGGTGTGTTTGGACGTCGGACGGCCATCGTGATAGGAGGGGGGGGAACGACCCTAGGGAGGAGTGGAGGTTTCCGCTCACGACCGCGAGACGCTTTGAGCGACGGTACGCGCACTAGGTCTACACCTAGGCACACATGCAAAATAACCAAAATCGAGGAGGACTCACCTGAATGGAATCTGCCGACACCACTTCGCCGTCCAGCTCCTTGGCCAGCCTCACGCCGAGCTTCGTTTTCCCCGTGCCCGTGCACCCGACGACGGCGAACAGCGGCCGGTCAATTAGCGGTGGACACGCGTCCATGACGTGCCGGCGGAGACGGTAGCGGCCCGAGCGAAACGCACAATAACAACAGCACAAGATCCCGGGATTTGGGGCCGCGGCGGCCGCCAAAAACGCGACGAAATTATTACGTTTCAGCGTCGCGAGAAGCAGCTTGTTCCAAACCATAACATAACCTCAAACGCGTGAATCGTTGTTATCGCGTACACGCGTTATCACAGTGGTTCGACGGCGGCGGCAGCGACCGCGGCGGCGGCGGCGACGACGATCGGTCGCGGCGGCGGCAGCGGCCGCGGTGACGTCGGCCCGTTAGGTTGGCAACCTGCTCGCCGCCGTTCGTTTCGCGCGACGCCGACGGTCGGTGTGCCGGGCGGCCGCGAGTAGACGCGACACGATAATAACTTATTTTACAACTACGCCGGGTGTTGTTACGGCCCGTCGCCGTCGGTCGGTGTCCCGCCCGTCCCGCCGAATAACATTTCCGTTCGGATCGGTGAGATTTTTAATCGGTGAATGTCCGCCGACCGGGCCGGTCAAATTGGAAATCGCATTTCATTTCTTTTATTTTCTGAATTTATTTTTCGATCCACCGAGTTGATGTTATTATTTATTATCAAGTGTCGGACGTCGGGTATACGAATAGGTAAACCTTGACGGTACATCACTACTGTACCGCGACATAATCACTTGTGGGTGGCGGGGCGGGAGGGTTTGTAAAATCCCTCCCAGGCGTTTTTTTTTTCTTTGCGTACTTAGTTCGGGTGTACCCAATTTTTGAAACTAAATTTAGGCCGTTGAATATAAATACGAATTTAGAAATTTTATTAATTCGAACCGAAATCTTAATAACGATATTTAAAGTTACATTATTAAAAAGCATTTGAAAAATAAACGATGTCGGAAATATATTTATAATTTATAATTACGATACTTATATACTATGTAGATAGGTAATGAATAATATTTACTACAAAATTATAGTAAATATTATCCCGCGTATACGATCCTGACGTAATTTTTCCATACCGCTACTACTCTGTCCAAATCCGACGTGATCTTTTAACGAATAGTCGTTAAAGACTCTTAAAGGTGCACACGAATTGCCTTCGAAATCCAGAAAGTATCTTTTTTACTCGAACCGCCTGAGTGTTCCGGAGGCGATTCGAGTACTGCATGCATATACTTGAATTCCCCTCCCCCCCCCCATAGCATCCGTATTGTCTACTGTAATTCAATCAAATATCGATATTGGAAATTATAAAAAACATTAAAAATATATGTATATATTTATTAAAAACTAAGCTTTCTCTTTCAAAATTTTGCGGGAAATAGGTGTATGTCGATTATGGTCTTTCAAAAACCATAAATGCGCGAACTTTTCAAACTTTCGTTGTTTTTTAAAAAATGATTTTATCTGTTCGCTATTTTGTCTTGTATCGTAGCACGGTTATACAGCCCGTTAATATATCCGGATTACTGGACGTACCGGATTATTGAACGGCTGGATTACCGAGATTCTATTATAATGTATTGATGTAAATTATTTTCGTAAGTAAAATTAGTTAGGTTTTATAAATTTGTACAGTTTGGTTCAAAATCGAACAGGGGAGAAACCAAGCAATTCAGATGGTTATAAATAAAAGCATTAATTTAATATTTCGTATATTACAACAAATATAAACAATGAGTAATATTATTTAAAATATGGACGGACATACTTCGCACGTGAATGCAGCCACTTTTGTAGATGGGAAATTTGGAAGGTAGGATACAGATGGGAATTTAATGTACATCTGTAAGCAACGATAAACCATCGGTAATGAAAAAACGATTCTGAGTGGAGTTCAGTTGATAGTGTTGCTTTGTCAACAATATATAGTAAGTCATGTTATGGTAAAATTATTACAAACAATGTGCTATTCCATTTCAACGATGATTGTTTAAAAAAGTTTTAAAATAATAAAAACCTAATAATAACAAAAAATAAATAAAAACGGTTACCAATGACGACCTTATTTTTATTCTTTAAATCTTTTTTAATATAAAGAGCCGGGTTTTCCTCGTTATCTAGAATGTTAATGAGAATTTAAGAAAATGACCTCTCTAAAGTACCACACAGAGAACATTTTCCTTTCTGAAAAAGTGCTATAATTGGAAATCGGAATAAGCTTTCTGATAGAAAAAGTGCTCACAAAAAAAAAAAGGAAAAAAACATCTTTGTAAAACTAATGCATATTCCTCGCTCCACTCAAAATCTAAAATATCATCTATTCACAAAAGATATAATTCTTATCAATAATTTGAAACGGTTATTCGTTTATTAAATTGAAAAAACTAACATAATTCTAAAAAAAAAATTGAATTCCTTCAATGAGGCGAAATATAACATAATGAAAAAAGAAAAATTCAAAGCCCGGCGGGTTGAACACCATCAATGAAGTTATACGTCGCCTACACCGTTGTCACTCGAAATCCATATAGGCTCGTCCTCAATCGAAATGCGTATGGGTTCGTCATAGGATTGCGAGATGCGTTAGGGCTATATCTATGTGTATGAACAAACTTATTATTATTTAATTTCATACTTACCAACGGTACAAAATAATTAACTGAATTTTCAAAAATATAAGTAATTATACATTTGATGAAGTCCCGATTTGTCTACACGGGTGTCTTTTTTTTTTAAATATCAAACATTATTATTCATAACCAATGTTACCATAGATAGGTAATTGATAATATAGATTATTACAAAATATATATAATTTGTGTTGTCATAAAAATTATGATCATGTGCTTGTTGTAAGGAGAAAATATAACTTATGATGAATGTTAAATTGTTTAATTTATTTTTTCATGAATCATCAATCAAGTTGGAAAAGACACAAACAAAACAGTTACGATACTATCAAAGATACTCACGATGGCGACGCCGGGCTGTATGGCGCGGATGCTAAGTCGTATGGCCAATAAGTCATGTTGTACGAACTTGACAACAGAACATTGTACAACGATGACGCATTTAGACCTGTACTCGAGAGGGCCCGTAACATTCATTGGCGTATCCAGACCTCTTTCGTTGGTCGGGCACAAGCTAAATAATATTTAATAATATTTATATATATGAACAGAGAAATCTTTTAATCTCCAACCCACCATTATACTCCAACTTCCTTAGTAAATTACCACCTAATAAACAATTTATTTTTCTGTAGGTATCAAATTTTTTTTTTATGAAGTAAATATATTATAAATATTGAATTTTAATAGTAAAAACTTTATTATTATAATATTTAAAGAAAAACTGTAGATACTTGTTTAATAAAAAAATATAGACTTTTGAAAATAGAAACTATATAGGCATACACATTTTTATGATTTACGCCAGTTTACATCACTGATATTATGTTAATGTAAAACTGGTTAAGATCAAATCAAAAAAGACTACGCAATTTCAAAAAAGGATTATTGCCTTATAATAAAACAAAATCACTTTTCATCAATTTTCTTTTTTTTTTTTTTACTAAGAGTATAAACAATATGAATTCATTATAACTTTTATTAGATATCAGAATACGTGTTAAAATTTCTATTGGTAAAAAAATGTTCGCTTACAGATATTAATTAAATTATTTATGGATAACACCTATGCAATTTTATTGAATAACTCGTAATACGCGAATAATCGTATTATTTAATTCGATACTTACAATACAAAATATTTAACGGAAACGGACTGCGAATAATGTTGTTATTAAAATTTCTTTTTTAAAGTTGAAGTACTTAAAACATTTGATGAAGTCACGATATGTCAACACCAATTTTTTTTTTCATATATATATATATATGTAGGTATTTTGTTTAAAAATATCGAACAATATTAGTTACGATACGGTCAAAGTTATTCGTACTTACGGTGGTGATGACGAACTGTAAGAACTATGATCGTCGGAATGATCATCTGACAGATCGCTCGACGAGATGAGTATCAGTTCGTGTAATGAACGTCGAGTACTCAAGTCCGGCGGTGACGCATAACAAATGAGGCTGTGCGAATAATAATATTATTAATTTTTTTTTTTTTTTTTTTTTTAATATCGAACAATATTAGTTACGACACGATCAAAAATACTTACGGCGGTGACATAAGACTAGTCATTTCGTCATTAGCTTCATCATCGACGCCACTCGTCACTCGCCGGATCACTGGACATGAGTATCAGTTCGTTATGCGAACGTCTTGTACTCGCGTCGATAGTATGATTGTAACGCATTAATAAATAAGAACGCCACCGAACTAAGTGACTATTTTAAAATTAAGTATTATAAAACTAATTTGGTTAATTAGGTATACCCAATGCCCACTAAAGGACCAATAAGCCCCGGGTTCAAACTTGAAATTAAGCACTCTTCATAAAAATGTCATGTACATTCCTGTGCTACAAACGTTTTATATACATTAATTAATACGATGTGTTCTTGAACACCCTTGAGTTCGAGATGCATGGCTCTTTTTACCACTCTTTGTCTTTTACCTTGATACCATTTTTTTTTTTTTTTTTTTTTTTGTACTACACTAAAAATAGTTTAATCTCCGATAACTTATTATAGAGGTGATGAAATTCACGGTAACGGCAACTTGTATTGTTTTATAATATTCGATTTTTGGACATGTGGTGGTTAACCATTTTGTCGATGATAAAATGCGCGGTGCAGTAGTTACGAGACTTTATTCATAGTATACCTATACCATCTACATATTTACATTAGATAAATAAAATAAACCGCCAACTAAACATACAATACAAAAAGCTGATACTGCTGATGGGTTTGTCACCGATGTAGGTGGGAAGTTGGAACGATAGGATATATACAAAACGATTTAATTATTATATCTGTATACGAAACGATAAATTATTACTAACGAAAAACGATTTTGAACGAAAACGTTTGAGGAATACCGCGATTTTCGTAAAACATGTACATTTTAAACGCTCATAAAAAAAAAAAGCTGCCCTAGGATAATGGGAACGAGTGCAGCGACTGTTGTAGGTAGGAAGTTGGAGAGGTAGAGGATACAGAAGGGAATTTAATGTAAATCTGTAAGCAACGATAAACCATTGCTAATGAAAAAACGATTCTGAGCGGAGTTCATTTAATAGTAATGCTTTGTCAACATGATATATTTCATATTATGGTAAAATAATTAAATAGGCATTATATATTTTTTTTAATAATATTTGTTTAATAGTGATCAGATTATCCAATTTTTCCTACGTTTTATTTTCGGTTTTTCACATTCGATTAGAAAACTCCTGAGAAAATCGAAAAATGACCTCCTTTAGGTATACTTCTTCAGTCCGATTTCCTTTCAGAAAAGGTGCTATTCTTGAAAATCGGAGCAAAATCTCTGGTATAGAAAAGTTGTTAATAGAAAAAAAATATATATACAAGTATAATAAATATCACTGTAAACCAATATATTCCTCGCTCCGCTCACAATCTAAAATTTACCTTTTCGTTTCATAAATAACATAGTTTTGATTATTAAACATATTAAAACTCATGTAAGCACAATAGATTATGAATGATGACGTGTGAAATTAATAATAGGTATTACGATTGTGTCATTTGTTTATTTATCAATTCGCTTCTTAACCGACGAAGAAAAATGTTGACAAAAACGAATTTTATTTCTGTCTAACTTTTTCGCGTAATATAATAATGTACAACTATAGCTTTTTCGTACTCAAAGAGTTATCCTAATTAATTAATTACTTGAAACATGTTTTAATACTGTATAGGAAAGTATGGTATAACGACATATAAGGTATACATCATAAATAATTTTTACGTTTTTAAAAACATGTGGATTCCGGACAAAAATTGTAATTTTCCTACACCGAGTATATACATAAAAATAAGTTAGATATTAGTTGGATATTCGTGGCTGAAAAAAAAAAAATCACTTTGGCGCTTATTAAAATCGTCGACATCGTGTAGTTTTTGCCCAAATGCGGTAGTCGGGGGGTATAGAGGACAAAGCCTTCTACGACTCTGCGCTGAGAAAATTACATACACCCCTCCCCCATAATGAATTCCTAAATACGCCACTGGAATTGATGACTAGTGGCAAACGGTCAAATCTGTGTGGCGGGCCACCGTCATTAAAACGCGATATGACTAATGAGTAGCAATGTTTTAAGAAAAGCGATAGAACCGTCCGATGATTGGTGTTGTACTTACATATTATTATTGTATAGAATTGCATGTACCCAGGTACCAATTATTATTCAGCGTTGATGAAAAAAAAAAACTTACCTAGGGCTAGCACTATAGTATATTTACTCTGATTACATTTTCATACGAAAATACATAACAAACGGCTTCGATAATCAATGTTGTCTGAAGATGCTAATGCCAGTGACGGTGTTAGAAGGGGAGGGGCATTGGAAGATTTCCCCCTTAGATGTATTGTGTAAACGTATTCGAAAATAATATTTTTCTAATTATATATAAACATATAATATAATTGTATAAAAGTATATATATTAAAAAATATATCCCTCTTCCCTAGGCAAAGAGCTAAATTCACTACGGGCTGATACTTTATCGACTTCCAGTGACGAAGGCAATTTTCGTATTTATTTTGTTACCTATATATAGGTATAGTAATTAAGATGACAAGTTTAGTCACAACCGGAATGTCTTAAAATTTTTGAAAAAAAATTAAAATTAAATCAAGCTAATATTTTTTTGACTTTTGATTTATTAATTGGATATGAACAGCGATTAAGAAATATTAATTACACTATTTATATTCATTAAAAACTAGATATCTCTAGATTTTACATGTTATTATTCTACGTTTAATTGATGTGATTATCTTTTCTTGTTTTTCTTTTTTTAATATGTATAACCATTGTTTTATGTAAGGTACCTGTAAAAACATAATATTATCTTATTATTATTTTTTTTTTACCGTTTAATGGTTTTTATTTATTATCAAATCTCAAAGTACAAAACTGTAAATATATATATGATATTTAATGTAATGTAATATGAAATCAGAGTATAGACGGTTTTTTTACACAAACAAATATGTATTCTATATAATATGATACAAATAAATAATAATTATTAACTAATATATGACAATAAACAAGTGATTTAATACGTATTAAAAAAAAAAAACAACAACACAGTAATTATTTGATGTAGATCATTAATTAATTAATATTTTATTTTTATAGTTAAATTATTTACAAAATAATCCATATAGGTATTGCAGGAATATTAATAAAACGCGGGTCTGTTTAATTACATGTTAATTTTAATTTAACATAACATTTTCATTGTTAGCTGTGCCTCATTATATGAATTAGGAATAACGATCTTTCTAAATCAATATATACGACTTGTCAATTAGTAAACTAAAAAAAAAAAAAAAATGTTGAGTCAATATTAGTTTTTATAGACAATAATATTATTTCATAGAGGGTTGGCGTACAAACGGTTGTAAATTCTGAACGAAGCGACTATTGGTTTTACTATAGGTATATTGTGGTTTTTTTTTTGTTACGTGTCTGTAAACGATTTTTATCTACAAGAAATCATGTTCCAATCAAACACCGTATGAGAATTTTCTTGTAGAATTTTTGATCCAATTCGCGCACTGGGGTTTTTTTTTTTTTTAATTTTCCTCGAAGGATTCCTAATATATGGGCAAAAACTGACAATTTTCCGTGGAGTTATTGTTGATTTCCGGGTTACTTCGGTGACGAGGGAAAAAGTACGAACTACATTAATACTCAGAATTGGTTAACAATAGTTTATCGTTACATACGGACACATAAATTAAATCCCTCTATACGTCCTACCTTCCAACTTACCCTCCTAAAACTGCAGTGACACGCCCGTGTCAGTTTATATTTTCCAATGTTATATATGTTATTACAATCATAATGTGTTGTTTTTTTTTTCGGGGTAAAACAAGTCAAATGTCTATCAGTCTATCAGTATTTTGTTTATACCTACATGAAATTATGATAAAGAAACGTGCAAAGTTATTTTAGTGCAGTATATTTTAGGTGCATGCTCTTTCAATAATACTGTATTAACTTTTATCATTATTATTATCTTGAAACGTCGATAAAATGCTATTTGTACAATTTAAAAAAATATTATATCTGTATATTAATCACATAGAAGATGAATAGGTAGTTAAAAATATTATATTATGCTCTAATCTTCGGGATTTTGTGTCATATAGTGTGTTTGAACATTAAATACGTCCTAATAATATATTTTATTATATTTCCATCGATATTATCGTAAAATAATATTGATCGTAAATTGTTGGGTCACGTGAAATGCCTAAATGAATAAAAAAAATCTCCACAGGGACGTTAAGCACGTGATGAATCTCGTTTTTATCGACTTTGTACCTACCTGTATGGTGTACTTTTTTGATTTTAAGTGTAGCGATCGTTTAGTAATTTTAAACATTTTTTTTTTTTAATCGTCAAGACGTTAAGTACCTAGTTACCTATTACAGAAAATAATTGTCTACCCGTTTTTTGTTAATTTTGCGGTTAGATAAAAAAATAACAGGTCCAGGCGCGTGTACAAAGGGTTTTAGGGGCTCAACCCCTTCCCCCAGAAATTGCATAAAAAGTATGATGAAAATAGATTTCAATAAATAGTTTCTGTCAACGAAGAAGATAAATACAATTTTGGTTTTATTTTTATTTTATAACAAGATACTAATGATCCTATATACGTATTGTATATATTATTGTTATTAGTGTCATTTCTAATTTTTCGTGGTTTTTTTGTTTTTAGAAAATTATAACTGATACGGCGATATCGCATTGTCTGTTCTATCGTCGCAATAATATGTTATCATTTAGGCTGTATTCACTAAAAAAATTATTAAATGTAAAATTTAATAACAGGTACTTAAATGACTAAAAATAAATGTTAAACAAATCGAAATTTTTTAATGAAAAATAAATAACCCTACAATATTGAAAGTATGTCTGTTATAAGAGTATGAAAGTGTACAACTCCTCCCCCACCCCCTGGAAATATTTGTTTGTGAGCACACCGGAACGCACCAGTTGTAGTAAAAATATCGTTAATTTTGCATTTAGTCGACAATTCGGCGCCACGAAAATCATGTACGAACGATTTTTTTTTTTTTTTGTTTCTATAAACATACCTTGAAAACCATAATGTATATCAAGCACTTAACAGTAATTGTTAATTCTGACTTTCATTTTGAATCGTTTTTCGAATGCGATCGTTATCGCGATGTTCAAATTTAGAATAATAATACCTATACACACCGGCTACACCATTATTATTATTATTATCCCCCGCGCCGAAGTGAAACGAACGCCCGACGCCGGGGTATCACTCTGTCCACTACTATTTTTTTTTTCTTATTATTTTTTTTTTTTTTTTTTCATACATATTACGTATATATAATTATTATTTATAATAATAATACGTTATACAATACGCTGGGTGTAACATATTAATTAGTCGAACGAAATGGTATGTCTACGTTTCTTGAATTAAAACGAACATGATAATATAAATATATAATATAATATACAGTGCATCACGTGTATAATGTGCAGTACTGCACATTATACGTAAATACTTGTCTTTAAATTTTTAAATCGATACTAATCCCGAAAGGGACAATAATATTATAAAATGAGCAGAGAAGGCATGTTAGACCGACCTAGAGTAACGTACAGTTAAAGATTATTGAACACATCGAAGACAACGATGTACATGTTTAGGTATGTATATTGTTCACCTTTTAGATTTTGAGAGGAGCGAAGAAGCTTATGGTTTTACAAAGATGTTTATTTTTTTTATTTTTATCTGTGCGCAACTTTTCTACCAGAAGACTTGCTCGGATTTCTACGTGTAGTAGCACCTTTTCTGAAAGGAAATCGGCGTGGAAAGGTACTTTAAAGAGGTCATTTTTCGATTTTCTCAAGAATTTTGAAGAAAAATAAAAACAAAAAGAAAAAAAAGGAAAATTTAGGAAATATAATAAATATAATTTACGATTTTTTTTTTCTGTGAATAACTTTTCTACCAGTAAGTTTGCTCCAAATTTTAATAATGGCATTATTTCTAAAAGGAAATTAAAAAAGACGTCTTATGATAATGTTCACGGGTGCAGCCACTGTTATAGGTAATTTTATGTATATCTGTGAACAACGATAAACCATTGCTAACGAAAAAACGATTCTGAGCGGAGTTTAGTTAACAGTGATGCTTTGTCAATAATATATATTATGTCATATTATGGTAAAATAATTAAATAGGCATTAATTATTTTTTTTAATAATATTTGTTTAATATTGTACCGATTTTCCCATGTTTTTTTTTCAATTTTTCCCGTTTATAAGGAAAACTCCTGGTAAAATCGAAAAACTACCTCCTAAAAGTACTTTCCCAGCCAGATTTCCTTTCAGAAAAAGTGCTATCATTATATATCGGAGCGAAATTTCTGGTAGAAAATTTATACACAGAAAAAAAAGCTATAATATTTTTTCACTAATACCTGCATTTCGTACATTTTCCGTTTTTCCGACATTTTATCCCAATTTTTTCCAGATTTCATGAAAACCGATGAAAAATCCATAAACGACCTCTTTAAATTATCATGGAGATAAAATTTCCTTTCAGAAAATAAACTACACTTGATACATCGGAGCAAGATTTCTAGTAGAAAAGTTTGCACAACAAATCTATGGGTATTTTGCGATTAAAATAGTTTCAGGAAACAATGGCTTGAGTCTCTAGGTACATCCAAAATGCATTTGTTTTTTCCTTGTTTAGGTTAAAGGGAAAAAAAATGCGAATCATTTTTTTCTTAGCATACTGGTTTGAACTTGGATCATAATAGACATAAGTGACCATTAGTTGACGACAAATATACTTTAAGAAGACTAATATAGAGTTGTTTAATGTAACATATAATATCCACATCTTCAAGAAGTTAAAATGTCCACATAATTTTTTCGTCAAAATTTGATATTCAAATTCCCTAAAAAAAGAATACTACATTAAACTCAATTTTTTTTTTAGCCCAAAGTAATACCTTATGAACCTCCTGTTAAATTTTCAAGCATTTCTGTTTAAGTCTTACAATTTTACCACAGAGTACCTACCGAATAAATAATACGTACAAAACTCTCAAAATTTAAATGTCCATAATACCTCAAAAATGGTTTAAATTTTTTGAAAATTTTAACTTGTTTAGAAAACGCAAATTTAAGTTTTCTCTTCAAATTTCAAGTCTCTACGAATATTTTTAACTGAATTACGCTACACTCAGAATCTAAAACGGAAAAATATATAAGAAATGTAGGCATTAGTTAAAATATATTATAAAATCTATGCACAACTTTTCTATCAGCAATTTTGCCCCAACTTTTAATGATAGCAAATCTATACCTGAGTTCAGTGAATTTATACCTATAACTTTTTATATTCAGGTTCTCACCGACCTCATTTCAAATAAATATTTTTAGCATTCCACTACTATGACCCAACAGTTCATATTTGCACGCGTGCATTGTCTAAAACTCGACGATGAAAAAAGAAAACATAGTAACTTATGCTATATCGAAGTTATAACTGGTTACAACACTAATAATAATAGTATAGTCATCCGCATCATAATATACGTAATATGGACACGGTGCATTTAAATGAAATTTCCCGTGTCTATTGTCGATCGTTCAGTTTCGGTACGCGCTCCCGTGGTCTTTTTCGTAACTACTTAAATGAGGTAAACTATCGACGGTAGTGGCGTGGTGTTGTACACGTTTTCCACTTACATTGCAAGTATGCGTTGTAAGTGAAATCATTACTATCAAATAACACTTTACAAAGGTGAATACACTAGCTTGAATAATGTACGTATACATTTTAAATATCGAGCTATTAAAATTGAAGATATCGAACAATGCAATGCAAAACCTTACTATAATCTCTTACGGGTGTTCACATTATTATACTTCATCGCCGACAATTATTGCCTCGTCTGAAAATAGACCACGCCTATGATTCGGGTGCCAATGCCAAATATAATAATACCTACTGCATTTTCGGGGATCCTAAACCCGAGAATAATGTGACGGGCGTCAGCATAATTTTATTATCCAATTACCATCTTCTGTATGCCGATAGTCGTCTTCGATTTTACACGTAACGCATTTTTTTTCTTTTTTTTTCGTGCATAATACATATTATTATGTACTAATTAAATTTTTTCCGTCGAGCTCTGTGCCATAGTACCTATAATTAAGTAGGTTATAGGTATGCCGCGGTCGTCGATTCAGAATAAATAATTCAAAAATTTGTACAAATTGTGAAAAAAAAAGTGAATAATTTATTTTAAATTAGTTGTATACGCATATTATTATATTGTACAATGTGTATACCTACGTCGCGCGTAGTACACTCAACATTGAAAATATAAATGTATTCAGTGTTTAAAATATAAACTATTTAACACTATTAAAATTATTACATAAAAAAAAAAAAGTCTAAACAATTTTAGAACTTTAAAACTATAATTACATAATTTATACTTATTAGTAAACGTCTCGGATCCTTGGTGTTCAATGGTAGATTTATTAACCGCTTATCACAATGACCTGTGCTGTGTACTAATAAAGATGTATGGTATCCAGACATTCAATTTTTATTAGTTATTTGAATTAATAATTTTTAGCATAATTCCGAGCATAACGAGGAATGTAATAATTTTACTATGATGCATTTGCTTTGTTTGTCTGTAAACAACTTTTCAGTCAGAAATCTTACTCCGATGATCAAGTGGCGTCTTTCCCAA